CATAGGGTAATGCTCTCTATTGATCTTCTTGTGGATATTGTTCTGCTCTAATCGTTTATTCTAATCGGTTATGCTACTTAATTTTATCGTTAACCTAAGAGCTTTTTATTAAAACCCTAAAATAATATGATAAAATTATATTTTTCAAAGATATTTTGATTAAATCTTTCACGCTGTACATGTGCGCACGAATGGCTTTCACGAGTACCTACTTGTTAACAGCATAGACTCAGTAAATTTACAATTTTGTATAGGGGATGGAGTTATAGTTTATACATCATAACTACGATTTCTGTATTTTTAGAAAATTCATTGGAAGATACGGATAAGAACAATAACATGATTAATAAAGAAGACATTGAAAGGAAACCTTGTCTTCTAGGACAAAGAAATGTTCCAAATAAAATATGTAGAGCATTGACTCCTTATCTTTATTTTTATCAGAGAAATGTATACGTGTAGGTTCAAAGCTGATTTCTCAACATTTACTAATCATACAATCGTTTTCATTCATAAGATAACGCTGAAATGGTAAAACAACAGAATTATTAACGGTATGCTTGTTAAAATAGTTGTACGATGATGTGTTGTATAGTATGTGATGTGTGTTTATTTTGTTGTAGGTAGTAGGAGCGTGCGACATGAGTGATAAGTGGTAGCGGAGGCGGTGATGCAGCGAGACCACGCGGGCGGTGCGCCGCTCGCCCAACCCTCCGCCCCCGCCCCCGCCGCTGCCCAGCACCTTGTACACTACCGTTCACATATTTATACAGATATCGATGATCAGGTAAACCTTTATTGTTATGACATATTCCGTTCAGGAGTGAGTGCGTATCTTTTTTACTTTTACATTCTGCCTAACGATATATAATCTATTTAAGTAATCTAAAGCAATTTCAGTTCCTAATAAACTCTAAATTATTTATTTTGTAGATACCCGCTTCTGTAATAAGCAGCGTTGGTACAGTGAGTTTATCGCAGTCTACTACTCATCCAACGCCTAATATAACAATGGCGAACCCGACTAATCTCGGTGCCGCCAACAGTGGCGCAATATCCCAGCCACCACCGCAACAGCCACCTACACAGGCGCCTGTGCGAAATCTCCCCAAGAAGAGGAAGTTCGACCCCTCTGAACTGGAGGAGATTGAACGGAATTGCATGAATAATATTGCAATCACAGCACCATTGCCGGTTGAATATCAACAGCAGAATATCCAGCAAACTGTGCCTCAGCCATCGCCTATAGTCCAACAGCAGTCACCGCCGACGGAGTTGAAACAATACGCCATCCATTACCCGAACATAGATCTCTCGGAATGGCGTGATCATCGAGTGCTAGCGAAGCAGCGCGGTGTCTACATCCCAGGTGTAATTCGTCAAGCGGATGGATGTAAAGTGATAGTGGAGTTCGATGGTCAGGAGAACGATCATGTGGAGTACAGTGATATATTTGGTAAAAACAAGTATGACGTAATAAGTGACGCTAGCCCGCAAATGAGCCACCTGGAGGTTGGCTCGTTGTGCGTGGTGAGGACTGCAGATCCCAGCCGGGAGAGTGTGCAAAATGTATTTGTGGAGGGCACCGTGTTCGAGATCCTTAATACGACGCCCAGAAGGATAAGAGTAAAGGTTAGAATATATTTTTTATTTACAATATTCCATTACCTAAGAGCATAGTTATCAAAAAACAAATTTTGGAGTACCTAATAGAAACGATTAAAGACCATTATAAGCTTCTGTAGTTCTTATCTACTTTGGGATTTCTTTAGTTGAACCTGACAGTCCTATTGTTTGAAATATTTTTCTGAATATACTTAAATTGTTGATATGCCATAGTTATAGCACTGACACTTCCTTTGCACCAAAGAATAACAGAACACAAAGACCGTCAGTCTATAATTGTCACAGTTGGCCATCGCATACAAGTAGCAGCAGCAGTAATAAGGAATACTCGATGATAGGGTAAAACATAGCGAGCCCAAGCTGCCATACGCTGACTTGGGATATGCCGATCAAGAATGTCACGTTTTATTAAACGTTTACTTAGTTATTTTATTTTGTTACAATAATGGTCCATATATTTATGAACTTATAATTCTTTATATTCTTGATACTCTACTCTACATACGCGTATTATCAATAAGCGACCGAAGATTAATCTAAATAATAATAAAAAATTTGATGACCCCGACATAAAGATTAGCGTCTGGCTAGATAAAAGAGGTTTTAGATGCAACGTAAAGCTGTTGACTTATTGTAAGTTTTTACACTGTGTAATACTAAGGCTAAGGATTAATATCGTGCAAATACAGAGACGAAGTGTCATAACCGCGTTTAAATACGCTACTACAAGCGTGATACGCTTGTGTGTACCGAGAGAAACCGGTTTATACCGGTTCAGTGAGTGTTCGAACGCAGGGTTAACGGTTCACGCTTGTTGTAGTGTACCTAGCACAGCGTAGTTGTATTTTATCTTTATGTCTATTTTGTTCCTTTGCCAGTGTTAGTAGTAAAGGGCCTTTCTTGTCTCTTGTCTCACCCCGCACAAATAGCTAAATAGCTTCAAACTATAAAAGTTTTGACCTTTCAATTTAGAATGTCCAATCCCCAAAATGTCCATCGTTTTCAAAATGTCCATTTTGAATAATATAAATAAAATCTAGCTGAATAGGTCCTCATAGCCTGTTTTTAATATATTAAATGTTAAACTTTTTGCAACATATTATTAATCTGTGTAGTCAGCAACCCAATTATGTTACAAGATTAGACATTTTGGTAATTGCTAATATCAGGAATTTTGAAAACTAGACATTTCGAGCATTGGACATTTCGGGAAATGCACGTTTCGGGAATTGGACATTTTGAAATCGTTGGACATTTCGGGAAATGCTCGTTTCGGGAATTGGACTTTTGAAATCGTTGGAAATTTTGGGAGTTGGACGTTTTGAACTGAAAAGATTTTTCTGAGTACATTCACTTTTATATTTTATTTGTCGTAGGTGTCAGACCGCGACAGTTGTGAGAATGTGGAGGTAAAACGTGCAGATATCAGATTGCTACAGCCGCCGTGGGCCGATGAGTTGGAAGATGCGGGCTCCCATGCTGTATCTGCTATCCACACACATCACTTGCAGCGGTCGCACCATCCGGCACAGCCGCAGGTAAGTCGTTTGCTTTCATCATCATCATTGGCCATACGACGCCCACTGCTGAGCATAAACTGTCCCTATAGATCTCCGAGACGTTGCTATTCTGCGTTATCCGCATTCAGCGGCTTCCCGCAACCTTTTCAGATCGTCGGTCCACTTGATTAGCCTAACCACTGATACTTTTTCGCTGTGTGGTCGCCATTTAGAACTTTTCTGCCCTAGTACCTATTCTTCTAGCTTTGTGTTCCGCCCACTGTCACTTCAAATGAGCAATTGTTCGAGCAATATCAATAAAGTTCGTTGAAGGCAAATAAAATAGGCCTTCAGGCAGTCATCCCTATTATTATTGAAAAAACAGATTTTTTGATTTAACAAGTTTGTTTCTATGGTTATGCCAAGCGTGGTAGTTTTTGGTTTTATACGTATATGTGGTTTAATCAGTTATATTGATATTTAAAGCCTATTTTTTACAATCGTCATACATACTATATAATAAAATTAATAAATCGTAACATTAGCATACGTCATTGAACGTCTACTAATATTAACAATTTAATGTACAACTACAAAAAGCTTTAAAATGCTTTTAAATACATTATCTTCACAGTAACCGGTTGCTATGACAAGTGATTGTCTTCTTATATAAATGTTTAAATTATATGTTGTATCACGTTCGTATGTCGGACTCGTTAATGAATTATCTTTTTATTCTTACATTTTCCTTATTCAATTTGATCTCTTTTTTAGTATAGGTAATAAAAGTGAAGATACATTTGTCATCCAATCCAGGACCGATTTTCAATTAGCCGATAAAACTTGTTGATCTTATTAAGTAGTTATCCAATCTAATGAAACATATCGCTAAAAAAAAGATAGAGAACTATCGATTTTTAACCGACTTCAAAATCGAAAAAAGGATGTTATATGTTCGACAGATGTGTGTTTTTTATTTTTTTTATGTATGTTCACCGATATTTTCAAAATTCATTTTTTTTATTCGACAGCTTGATGGACCGCGTTGGCCCCATTTATTAACTTTATCGAAATCAAATAAGTATTTTTCATTTTATAACAAAACAAAATACGCTTTCTAACAGATATCATCTAAATATTAAGATGATATCTTATAACACGGCCCATTTCAGCTAAAAAAACAAAATATTGCGTATTTATAATTCATTTAAAATCTGAAAGGAAGAGTATACTTTACAACTTTACAGTATGTATACTTTACTTTTTTTATGAAATTCATAGATAGTAGGTATCAATGAGTAAAGTATACATATATATGGAGTAGGTATGTACATCGATTTCTTCTTGAATTGTGAACCAATTTTTATCAAAATAGCGGTTTCCCCGCGAGTTCGTCTGCGTAAATTATAGCCTATGTCTGCCGCGATTACCTGTAGATGAAAGACTTTTTATATATGGGCCCAATAGTTTGAGGCCTATCCAATGCAAACAAATTAGAAAATCTTTCCTCTCTAAACTATATAGATTATTGGAAAAAGTATGTCGAGCAAACAAACCAAATCTCCTATTCTAACACTTTCACCATGTTAAATATTTTTATTTACATAGATATGTAATATTTTTTGTGTTATCTATTGTATAAAAAATATCAATATTACAAAAAGCATGAAATAAAAACTATAAATAATATTTATCTCAAAAGTGACTTATTCAAGAAAATGCCATTGAAGTCGGGCCTGTCATTTAATTAATAACCTACAGAAAACCTCCGCCCGATATAGTGAAGTTCAAGGAACAAAAGTCGATTTTTTGAAGGTACTACAATTAAATAATAATTAGAGCAAACATTATTTCTTTGCCATACCATGTCGCCCCCAAAATACAAGTTGCCTAGTTTGGATATAGACCGGCTGAACCTGTCTGTACAATAATTAACACTAAATGAAAATGATTTTATTTTTAAAATTCAAATGATAACTCTCTTGATTAGTAGTAATTACACAGATGCAACTTTATTCTCTGGATAGGTCGATTAAAGATTCTTAACTTTAAAAAACTACCTTGTAAACATATAATGAGTAATTTTAGCCTCCCTGTGTAATCAATGTGAATGCTGTATGTGTGTAATCAACTATTGTATTTAGTGCAATCTAATAAAAGTAAACAGCCTTTTCAGATGGGCGGGGAAAACTTTTTCACGTCGTCGCCGATGGTGACCGTAGGGGCACTGTCCAACGGCTCCATAGACGATCTGCGCAAGCGCACATTCGACGATTACTGTGAGAGCGACGACGATTTACGCAGAGAGGACATCATGTTTCCCACCGACCCGCATATGGGTAAAATTCTATTGTTTTTATCTTGCCGGCTGTTTTCTTGTCTATGTTGTGTTTTTTTTTTTAACAAAAATAATAGTAAAGCGTTCGTTTGCAGACTGTAATAATAGCAAGCGGAGTAGCTTGCAAAGCCGAGGCAGTACTTCAAGTCTTCTCGAAGGCAGTCTCACACCCCGATCTCAACCACCTACTCCAAGGTTTGCATCTAACGAATGTTCGATATCTGATCTCTGAGGCGATATTATGACGCGATTCAAATGCAGCTGTCGTAGTAGGTTGGTGCTATACATTATGTATAGATGTGGATTACAATTACAATGGGCTTTCTACAATATCATAGACATAATGGTAAAGCTTCTTTCTGCATTTATAAATGTTGTATTAATGTTTGTTGATTTGTAAATAATCTAATACTATTAAGCCGAAAATTCATCAATTAGACCGAATGAATGGTCTTTCGCTTTTAACACACCATAGTGTCCACTGACCGAGCCCAGTGCATATTGGTGGGTGTGGACAACTGCAGATGTAAACTCAAAGCTTATACAAATTGATCCATTAATTGACGAAAATCATCGCGTTCGAATTAGATCTATATAGTGTACAAATGTAAGTTTTTATTTCTGTTACAATTATTGGATGCCTTGACTTGTTGATGGCGCTGTATAAATATCCAAACATATCAATATCTTTAAAATTTCATACCAATTTATTAATTTTAGAAGTAATTTATTTGACCATGGTAATGTTGGTATGGTAAAAAAAAATCTTTATTGGTTACGCATTTTTAAACATTTCGGATCCTTTACATATTTCGTGGACATTAGATTGAGCCATCGCTAAGAAACTTTTCAGTCATATGATATTTTATTTTTAGATCTCAAGCTGCCACTCCCCATAAGTACAAGAAAGGTGATGTGGTATCGACTCCTACGGGAATCCGTAAGAAATTCAACGGGAAACAGTGGCGGCGGCTGTGTTCTAAAGACGGATGTACTAAAGAGAGCCAGAGACGCGGGTTTTGTTCCCGGCATTTGTCGCTGCGAGGTGTCGCCCGATCGTCTAACACACCACTAACACAGGGTTCTACGCATACTCCGCAACAGAGGTATGTAATAATTGTCATAAAACATAATAGTTATATTTGATAAATTTTGTTTTGCTCCTGAGAGAGTTTTGACCCTGAGATGGGATCGCATCTCAGTACCAGGGACAAAGTGGATTTTTTTACTAAGGATAGTTTATATATTTTTCGGTCGTTCTGTTAGAACTGGTAAGTTTCTTTCGCACGTTGTCCTTTGAAACCAAAAGATGTTATGCGGTTCTATCTCTTAATTTTAAACCGTGTTTGATCTGTCAGTTTGGTAGGAAAAATACGTTCTTGCCCTCCTTTATGTTCATTTCTCTCTTTTCTTACATTTGTAGCTTCTGATATAATTTGTCAATAGCACACCATCTATTTGACCATGAAATATGGTATCTTGACTTGGCCTTCCGCGGGTTCTAAGTATTTCCATTTTCATGATGTAAATTAGTTTGTCGTTCTTTCATTCGACATTGTGTCCACATATTAGAATCTATGGAGTAGTCTTCTTATTTTTACACCGCCTCTATCGTTTAGGTAACTTTCTTAGTTACCTAAACTTCCACAAATTCTGCATAATAATCGTATCTTCGCTGCATTTATTCAACTTGTATATGTTTTACTATGTATTGATGTCTGAGAAAATATAGTATGCGATACATTCAACAATCGGTTCAGTAGTTTTGGAGTAAATAATTATATTTTGTGATAGACAAAAGAAGAGACAGATCCACAAATATGCGAGTGCGAGTGATAAGCCTGTTTAAAACGTGTCCTTCCATAAGAGAATGTTACTTCTATAAAGGATTGTTCCAGAAGCAGTAGCAAGTCGTTGTCGTCTAGCGGTACTGGGATAGAAGGCGACGAGACATCGCGTGAGTCTGACACCACGCCGCCTCATTACCGGGTCACTGGACGGTTCGATTCCGACGAGACTGAGGCCGCTAATATGCTGGGTAAGTATGCATAGTTCAGTATTTTCTCAATCACATCATCAATGTTCAATCCTTTCTCAATTACATCATCATAATTTAATCCTTTCTCATTTGCATCATTAATGTTCAATCCTGTCTTTAGCTGAATTCTTTTTAAATCGCATCATTATTATTCAATCCTTTCTCTACAGCATCATCATAGTTCAATCCTTATACGACAAAATTATAGTTCAATCCTTTCACAAACGCATCATCATGGTTCAATCCTTTCTTAACTACATCATTATAGTTGAATTCTTTCTCAATCGCATAACTATTATTCAATCCTTTCAAAACAGCATCATAGTTCAATCCATTTACAACCGCATCATCTTAGTTCAATCCTTTCGCAGCAGCATCGGTTATATTTAATCGATACTTATATAACTATCACATAGGTTTAAAATATTGGGTACATATGATTGCGACGATTGATCATCGATTGTATTTCGTACTAATCTGATATTATCGTTGTGTATAACGTAAGGTAATGCGTTTACAAGTTTTGTATCTCTACAGCGATGTTTTTACAGATATTGCTGGTAATCAGATGTTCGAAATTTATTTTCAACGGGTCACGTTTACGTAAACGCATGTGATGTTTTTTATGAGCTAACTTCTTTGCAATTAAATGTTGCTTTCAATGAATATTATATAATAAAGTTATATTTTTGTTATCAATCTATGTTCATACCAATCTGAATCACACACGTTTTGTTCGCTAACGCGTATATTTGCAGTAAAATACAATGTATGTATAATATCTAGATTTTAGGCAATACTAAGTAGTACGGTGTCACATCTAAAGAGATTAACGGCAGTCTGACGGCTGAAAAGATTAACGGCAGTTCCATTATAAGTGGTGCATGTTATATGTTAGGTTGGGGAAAAATTATTTTGGGATATAGTATACCTATATTTGTAATAAAATCTTTCTGGCTTTACCATTTATATCTGGCTGGTTTCGGGATTATTCAAAAGCTTTAATTTTAAAGAAGATCAATCCGAATTTTAGTTTGGAAAATGTGTGATTTTCATTTGTTTGTTTTACTGTGAAAAATGAGTGAGCCTAATGAAGAAATTCGATACATTTTAAAATTTTATTACAAAAAAGGTAAAATAGCAACGCAAGCCGCAAAAAAAAATATATATATGGCCTTTATGGCCCTAGGCCCCTACAAATTTGGTTGAAGCGTTTTAAGTCCGAAAATTTTGATATCAAACATGAACGTTGCTGCGGTCGCCCTGTTACGGATAAAATGTGACATATCAGTAGTTACGACGTAGCTGAAGAAACTGGGGATTGACTACAAAACAGTTTTGAAGCATTTGAAAAAAGCTGGGTACACAAAAAGATGGATATTTGGATACCTGACAAGCTTACTGAAAAAAACCAAATACAGTGTACTCATTTGTGATTCTTTATTACGGCGTAATGAAACCAACCTATTTTTGAAGAAGCTGATAACTGGTGATGAAAAGTAGATCACGTACGACAATAACGTGCAAAAAACGTAACTGCCTATATTTAAAATGTCTGCGTTTAGGGTAGTGCGTAAATTAAAGTAATTGTTTATAGACCTGACCTTTTTTGTAAATAACCTTTTCTTATTACTTTTTACTTACTTAGACAATGTATTTTTCCTTAGTGTCACTGGGTAGTTCCCGTTCTGGTAGTCCCGGCGCTTCACCCGTGGGCGGAGGGGCGTCACCAGGGCTTCGGAACAATGTATTCGTACCGATCTCATCTCCACAACCGCAGCCTCCTCACGGTTCTTCGATTTACCATCATCATCTTATCAGGTACTAGCTGCCATGCGAACTTTGTACTGTCTTATAATAAATAAAATAAAGCCTAACTATCTAGCCTTTTGTTTCAAATTGTTAACGAGTCTGGCCGCCATTTTGGTGACGTAATCTATTGACAGTTTAGTTCAACGCTCAGTGCCGTCAACAAATAAATACTGACTAGCGAGTACGCGTACTAAATTCAAATTATCTTGTCTGGTTTTCACGTTACACCTTAATATTAACATTATTATGAAAATAATGTCCTTTTTCAAAAATTGTTTTGCGAACAAATTAAACTTAGGGTTAGTAAATTAGTATTAACCTGTTTTTGGGATTATTTATAAATATTTAATAAATAATTTATCTATTGCATATTTTGCTGTTTTAGATCTCCATTTTCAAATAAATTTACGCAAGTGTTATTTAGACAAGGTTCCAGCATGATAATTAGCGGGGTTTTTTTGTATTTCCCCGCACCGCATGTCTAGGCAGACCCTTTGAGTACCATCGCGAACGTTTGTCTGTGACGGTTGCTTATAACGATTTTGTATTTTTTTTATATATTTGTTATGTTAAGTTTAATATAATCTTTCACCTCGTCTTCAACTGATGGAAAGTTAAGCATAGTTTAAATACAATTATTAATTCTTTGCCGACTGTAGCGGTTGATGTGCCTATAACGTCTTATGGTAAAGGTTGTCGACGGCCAACTCTAAAAGAACGTCTTTTATTCATTTATATTCTTGAATTATGTTTTTAAATCAATCCATTAATCTTCGATATCACTTTATATTTTAATAGCTAGTATATTGCGTTTTATTTATTATATATTTATATATAATAAATATTCTGATATTCACACTGCTCAGATTTCAAGTAAAGTAGCTAAAGCCTATGGCCTATGGAAACCCCAACACAAAAGCCTGAAAAGTGAACCTACCACATGGAAAGTGAAGCTTGCTTGAGAGTCACGCGTTTACAGAGATTGTTCAATTGTTATAAATACTCAATGATTTTGTATTGCGATAGACCGGAGTTGGTTCGTCCCGGACGAGCTAGTTCACCAGTGGGAAGTGTTGCTACAAGCGTCATCAGAGTATCTCCGGCGCCTACATATTACCAGGTATGTTGACATTAAAATGTTTGTAAATCAGTCGTTTATACCCTACTATTATCAGAATAAGATAATAATAATGGGTATTTTTATTATTCATCATCATCAGCCCTTATACGTTACTTCAGCGGATCAGGCCATGGATGATTAAGGACAAAATGCCATGAATATTAATTAAAATTCCCAGATCTCTGACATATCCACAATGCTATTACCTAAGCATTGCAAAACGTAATTCAATTTTACGATATATTTTGTAATTTCACTCAGAATATTAATCATGAATACAAAGTGACCTTTATTATAAGTAAGCAATAAATTAAAAAACTAAACGTACCTTTTGCCTATTATTGATATATTATAGCGACACAAACTTATCTGACGTGGCAGCGTCGCTGTTGTTGATGAGATGAGTTTTGTACTGTCACTAAATAATATTTCCCCAGTTTTTAGGGTAATAATAATAACGACATTAGGCAAGAAGTGGTGGAAATTTTCGATTTTGCGTTCAATGAGGACTTTTCTATTAGATTGCGATTTCTTGTATCTATTTCTTGTCGTGAAACGTTTAATACTATTTTTTTTGTTATATTTTTCTTCTCACGATACCGAAGTCAAAATCATTAATTTCGATTCATTCTTTCCCTTTCTTTCCCTAGACTAGAATTTTGTAAACAAGAGTAAGTTGAAGTGAAGCGAAGGTGCAACTTGCTGTTTTTATTTAACTAATTTGCGTACGAACCGCTCTCCAACACCTACAAAATAAAACTAAATTTAAACTTAATTGCATTACTGTGGCCCACTTATATGAACCCTTTCAGATTTCAGACTAAAATATTACAGTTTAATTTAATATTACAGACAGTTTAATACTAAAAAAGTATGATAAAACTAAAAAAATATATCTAAAAAGGAAACACATATCAACAGTTTTAGATTGTTAAGGGATTGAAAGGGTTATTCAGAGCAACAACCAGCAACACTAACCTGTAGCAGTTCATACAATTTTTCAAACGGTATTATCTTTTCTTTGAGCGATAGGCGTTTATTTAGATAAAATCACAAAAATTAAATATACCACGCGCCGTGTACAATGATAAGCTGACACAAAGTATGATGACAACTCAAAACTTAGTTCCAATTTTGGCCATCGGGTCTGATAAGTTTGTGGCACTGTACAATAGTTTATGTCAATTATACGTCAATTTTCCTCATTAGATTACCATGGCATCAAATTATAATACAATAGATTAACACTATTGTTCTCCATCTAGGTGCCTGAAAACCGCAATGGACCAAGTATTCACCCAAACAATCTAAGCTCACAAGCGAACGTGATCGGAGTGTCAACGTCCGGCTTGAACATTCAGAGTACAATACAGAACAATCTGAACGCACCAACAAGTCTACAATCCACCCTCACACTGCCGTCCAGCATATCTCTCAACCTGAATAATTTAAACAATCAAGATCTACAAACAAGTATAGCGAACAACATCCGTACTACAAATGAGATTCCACATAATCTAGTCGTCCCTCGAAGCGTTCCTTCTTCGAATGGGATAGATATAGATTTATACAGGCAGCAACCTCTTCATATAAGGAACGGTATCCACGATTACAGAAGAGAGAGTGATATGTCCCCCACAATGAATAATCATGAGAATTTTTTAACTAGAAGAGTCTCGGAATACGAGGACGAAGACCACGCGCCTCAAAGAGAAGGTATCCATCGGAATGTGATTGACAGACCGCCGGAATTGTCCGAGACTCGAATAATAGAAGATAGCAAAAGAATAGGTATTTTTTAGCCTATTAATGTCATCATATAGGCTTCTTAGGTCCTGTACAGTTTTTTGGATGTTAACGACTGCAGATGCAGCCGGGATCAACTGCTTAGTGTGCATTCCAAATCATGAAGAGTTATTATAGTACCATCTTATGATCGCCCTTTAAAAAGTTGGATAATTCACGCAATCGCAGAACGGACCGCACAGGCCACTGTGCTATCGAGCTCATTAAAAATGATGTTATGACAAGATTTCTAATTGCAGTTTTTTTCTGATTTTCTTGCAAGTAAACAAACTTCGACGTTAAATGTTGATACATTAGGTTTATTTCACAGTGAAACCGGCGCCGATACACACTCGCCTCGTGTCAGTGGTGGACGCGGACGCGAAAGACTCGATAAAGCGATACTACGTATTGCCTTCCAGTACAATATGCGAGAAGAAATTTGTACTGATAAAAAACGAGCCAGCGGAGACACTTCAAGTGTGTATTTTTATTTATTCTATCAGACCCAGCGAGTTAATGTAGTTTATTCATCAGTCCTATTTTAATATTAATAAAGAGATTATTATAAATTATATTTCACCCACCGATAAGCCACATCATAAGCCACATCAGGTGACATATGTCCTCATCTCTCCCGTCACTGTGCAACGTGCAACTTTTATGTTACAGCCTAGTATATGTCTATCTCTTTCTAATTGAAATTTAATCATTCATATCATCATCATATAATTAAAATTAATAATAATAGTCATTTATTCTCTCAACACAAAATTATATACATATGAGTCTCTAGATTCTTAATACATTTTGTATATTAATTTTGTGAGAGGCTGGAGCTCGAAATTGGTTTCAGCAGAAACCTGTGTGACAGGTCACCAGGATCTCCTTTTCATTCTAGAGAATTTCATAGTATGTATATCATAAGATCTAATGCATATTCCCGATTATACTAACTTGGTTGTGGTATTTATAATATGTTTTCAAACGAACATATGCATATATATTGGTGAGCAGGATATTATGATACCTAATCATTTATATCACCATCTCATAGAAACTTACAATAGCAATTAGTTAAACAATTAATTTGACATAAACTAAATGAGGTCAATGATCAAGATAAAAAATTATTCTATAAACCATTCGATATCGTCTGGAGTTTCTTTGTAGATGATTTTTTAATGATTTTGTTTTTATTTCAGCTAGAGCAGAAGATGTCTCAATTGGGTCAGCAACTAAATAATAATGAACCCGAAACTGATTCTAGGACTCTCGACAATGGTGTCAGTGATCACGTAAGTGTATAATTCCTTTTTTTATATATATTTTTGTCATATACATGGCAGTGCTATACTGCTGTCTTAAAATTAATTTGACGCTTAACTCTTGTGAACATACAAAATGAAAATTAACACCTTTTTAAAAACTGAAGTAATGGCTAATACATTTTCAATATTTTCATGAAAATTATTCTAATTTTCAATGTAAGTTTGGAGCATTAAAATACAAATATAAGTTTTTATACTTTGATTGACAATGCAACTAGATGCCCGGTCAATTTTATGAATATCATATTTACAGGTTGGTAATGTCATTTTACAATGTGCATGAATATGTAGGTTTGTATCAGTCTGAAATTAAAAACACGACTCAATACTTACCCAGTTCTGGAGCTTAATTGTCGCCTAGAATATACTCTATGTTATTATGTCTCTAGGTTTTCGCAGTGTATGGTGCCGTATTTGTTTATTTTATTAGTGTGAGAGGCTTTATCCTGTTTTATTGTTGATCGAAGTTTTTATAATAATATTTTCTTTGTTTTAGTTGAACAATATGAACAGCAGTGCCGTAATAGTACATCCTAGTCAGTTATTACCAGTCCTACCTCCGCCTACTTCGCACACTGCTATCATCGGTGAGTATTCTATTGTACTCTTTGAGTAGCTCGGTGGCGTAGAGGTTAAACACTGCGGTCCGCGACCGTTGTTAAGCAACTTTCGCAAGAGTAGGGTCAATGGAAGGGGTGGGTGACCGAAAATTATTATCTCGAGCTACTCCGTGCTTCAGAAGGCACGTTAACCCGTTGGTCCCAGCTGCATTTGCAGTCGTAAATACCTTAAAATCAGCATTTAGCCAGCATGAAGGGTCACGGCCCATCCTCTTTAACTATCCTTAAGAAAGGTCTGAGCCCTATAGTGGGGACGTAAAACAACAAATTAAAGAAAGTAACAAGCAACGGAAAACAATTACTAGATTAAGTTTAGTAAAATAATTGTAGATGTAGATGATAAAGACAGCGTTTTGATGTAGCTCTAAAGGATGATAAAAATATATTATAGGATATAAAAGTTTTTCCTATACCAATTAAATTTCCTATATGATTCACCACAATAGGTCACGTGATAGGTTAGAAAATTAAGACTGTATACACCCGTATTATTTATCTAGTATCAACTGGTGGCGTGCAAGGCGGTGTGTTTCCGTGGCAATCGTTGGTGCCTTTACTGACGGCTTCGTCCCCTCCCCCCGCGCCGCCGTCGCCGCGCACGCCGCGCACACCGCGCACGCCGCACACGCCACACACACCGCACACGCCGCACACACCGCACACTCCTCACATCAAGACGGAGGAGATCAAGACTGAGAGCGCTGGTGAGTGGAGAGTATTAAGCAAGGCTTAGCTTTAGTGTTTGATTAGTTTTCATCACTATATAAGGAAATTCTTATAAATCATATTAGTTGATTTAATATAATGACAAATCAAACAGGTTGGTTGGTTGCTATGATTACTTTTCGACTTTTCATAAAAACCACACCCATTTTCTTTCCTTTAAGTGCTTGTTACGGGATAAAATATAGCCTTCCTTTCGGGATAAATTATTACCTTCATAGGATTAATGCAATGCATGGAATTAATAGCCTTCGCTCTGTTCTATAACGATTAATTATAGGTATGTACCAACCTATGTCCTACAGACTTTGAAACTTGTATTTATTATTGTTCAATATATGTATTATTTTAGTAATGACATGATTTATGTAAATGTCATTACTTATGATAAAAGCTGGTAAGTTTCTTTCGCTTGTTCTTCTAGTCAGCTAAAAGACGTCCTGAACATGTGGTAGGGGAAAAAATATTTTTGGACGATTCAAAAGTGCTTGTAAGCTTACTTGAATAAAAACATTTTCATTTCATTATAAACTACTCAAATACCAAATTTCATCGATGTAGGTCCAAAAACAAAGAAATTTCATATATACGTTTTTACCCTTTTTAACCCCCTTCGAAGTGGAATTTCCAATAATCAGTTCTTAGTACACCTCTACGTAATAAAAAAAATATACCTTCTAAATCTCAAGTCTCTACGATCAGCGGTTTAGGCTGTGCGTTGTATGTAAGTAGATCTCCTTTATATACGTATAGATAACGGTGCGGACATATTATAAGAAGGGATGCAATTAATGTAAATAAGACAGTGAGATGAATGTTGATGAATAGACCATGTGGGACATAATATTAAAGGGAAGGGAGTGAGTGATATTGTGCTATGTATGCTTAAGTTTTACCTAATAATCCAAGTTCTGATATGAGTAAGAGGGGCATGACGTCACCCTCTGTTTGCAGTCAGGTAACATCAAGTATTAAATATTTGTTTCATATTAATTAATTTTAACAATATTATAAATATCATAAGCATGAAAGCGTGATTATCGGTAATAGTATATTAAGCACTACTAGAAAAAGATGTATTTATTTTTGTTTACTGTCTACACCCGTTATTTATTCGAATCAGTATTTCAGAAGATTACCCCGCAACTATTTGTATAATTTTTTGGTATAGAAATAGAAACTCGTTTTTTTTTAAGTAAGGCTCAAGGCGGTGTTATTTTTTTATAGTTCTTGTGGTCGAGTATTGATGGTTTGCAACGAAAACTTGATTATATATATACCTATATACTTTATTTGTGAGTAAAAAAAACTACGAAGTGGAATGAAAATCGGCTGTTTATCGTGAGTTCTTTCAGAATTCGACATAAACTATTGTATCTATTGTAGTTTTATGAAATATGTAGTATAAAATTAAATAAGTTATATACTTGGTTGCTTCCGACTGGATCTTTGATTTTCTCTTTGCAGTATATTTTCTAACGTTCATATTATATTTTAAATACTAATTTATATACACTAAGACAAGATTTACCTATACAATAGACTGTATTTCAGGGGAGTCTGTGACTGCTATGTGCACCGAAGAGGAGGATGACGTGTTCGAGTGCGAAGAACCCGGGCCTGGAGGTAGCGAGGATACGATCAAACGACGATCACAGAGTTTGTCATCGTTGAACTCGCCTGCTTCCACCACGGATAAGGTATGTAAAGCTGTAGAATCTTTAGTCGTTCTATAGAAACGTCAAATAGGGTAGATGCGGTAGTGAAAAATAAGCTAAATAAGTAAAATTTTAGATTTAATGTTAAGGTAAGTTAACGTGTTTATTTTTACGACATATTGTTTTTGTTTCTTAATTAAATTAAATTAACATAAACGCAAGTACATACTTTTGCAATCAGAGTAAAATACCCTATTAGTCTACCGTATTTAGGAGAACCGTATTTGATTTATTTATTAACCACCATCATATACATTTATACAGTATACAGAAAAAATAACTTAGTAAATGCAAAAGACAATCATGAGTAAACACTGCATGCAATCCAACAGCTTAATCTATCTATAAAAATGTTGCCGATTTCGCCTGATTGTTTTGATCAATACATTCATGTTTAATTAATATTTTTTTTACAGAAGGAACGTCGTATAAGACGACCAATGAACGCGTTCATGATATTCTCTAAGAGGCATCGTCAAATAGTTCACCAATTACATCCGAATCAAGACAATCGCACAGTAAGCAAAATACTTGGCGAATGGTGGTATTCACTTAAACCTGAAGAGAAACAGAAATACAATGAACTGGCCAGTGAAGTAAGTGTCCATAATCTAATCCTATTATCCTATTTCCTATTATAATATAAATGTGAAAGTTTCTTTGTTTGGATGTTTAGATGTTTGGATGTTTGTACGTCAATCACGCCGAAACTACTGAACGGATTTTGATGAAATTTGGTATACAGATAGGGTGTTAGCTGACTTAGATAATAGGATACTTTTTATCCCACTAAACATTTCCCTAGGATCCACGCGGGCGAAGCCGCTGGCGAAAGCAAGTCTAAAATATTCTCATATTTTAAACACATTGGTAATACTAAGATTTTTGGGTTACATTTATATTTTAATGCAAATAATTTTAAAAGTGAACATTTAAATAATAATAAATGTATATTTAAATTTATCAAGTGAGTATTAAAATTAACTATTAGATGCACATAATAACTTTTGGTGAACATGACCCTTTTGGATCATGGTAACCCTGGTCATATACTCCTCCCCATATATGATATACACATATACTCCTGGTGGGTATCGCGGTTTTTTTAGCGTTAATTGATACCATCGTGTACAGTAGCACTGATGCTGTGCTGAAGTGCTAAATAAGTACTACCCGGTTAATGTAATGTTAATAACTCTCTAGATAAAGATACATAGAAAATATTTATGTCCTGTATATTGTTATTATATATTTAATGTGAGCTTACACTAGATGCTTAATTATTTGTTACTTTAAGGTAAAAGAGGCTCACTTCAAAGCTCATCCCGAGTGGAAATGGTGCAATAAAGACAGGAGGAAGTCTTCGAGCAGTCGTGATCCCACGGGCTCTATGCCACAGGTATGTAAATTATACCTAAAATTATATCCTTGAGAAATTTTCATTTCGTGACTAAGGTATTTGTTGTTTATGTATTTTATCGAGTACTACTGAAATTTTATTTAATTAGTTGTAGAAGAGTGAATCTCACGTATCTTTACACAAAATATTACATTTCGCATCCGTTTTGAACTGTATCGAAACGCATTAAGGATTGAATTCTATTTGTTGACTGTGGTTTTGACCTTTGAGTATTGTTTTGTAAACTTATTATGATATTTTATTTGTATCAGAGTCCTCGTACGCCAGTGGAGGCGGGTGGGGCTACGGGCGATGTGCCCGTTCCAGCTGTGTACGCGCACGAACCATCGCCCCACCTCAGCGATGACGAACCTATGGTCAGTTAATTAACTAATATTATTATGCTATTAATGTTTCCACTACTGACTGACAGCGCACCCTTAACTGGTGGAAATAATTAGGTCAATAGAGGGCCCAGTGAGGATTTATGGGTGTTAACGGATGCAAATACAGTTCGGAATAATTTACTCTGCCTGCTGGAGCACGGAGAAGTTCGCGATGATTAATTTTTGATAACTCATCCTATGACCAGTCATTACAAAAGTTGCTTAACTTCTGAAACATACTGCTGCTACATTGCTCTATGTGGCTTTTCAAAACCAATATAATATTTTTGTGTATTTGATGATATGTTATATTTTAAAATACATGATTGCATAAAACTCTTTACTTGTTCGATGTTAACATTATATTAAATTACATTTTTTAAATAAATTGTACACAGCCAACTCAAACTGTATGCGAAGAACCTCCCGCGCCTCCTCAGATAGAGATAGAGATTGATCTGAAGTGTGGCGAAAAGGTAACGGACTCGGATTCTGAAGGTATTGAGGCAAGGGAATATCTGCCGCATCACGATCACGCGCGAAGACCTAAACCTATCAAAGCCAGGTGAGTGTATTTTTTAAAAGGAGATTGCCTATTAAAGTATGGAATTTGGTTTTAAGTCGCATACCGATGTATCTATATGTTACATATCATGGGCTTCAAGCCAGAGGCGTATACGCAAAAATAGTTCCTTTCTTATAATGACAATTTTTTTCTAATTTTGTCATTTAGAAACGGCAAATCACTCAAAATTATATTACTGAAACACTTTTAGACATAATCGAAAGTCGTGTATTATTTTGATATCTCTTGAAAAATAAGTATTATTGCTTATTAGGGACGTCCCTATGGGTTTCAGCCCGTAATATGTAACATGCCGTATTTTGAGGTTTCAAATGTGTACAATCAATCATTAAATAAATAAATGCGAAAAATAATAAACTTGATCAATATGTTTAAATAAAGAACTTATCATAAGCTCTGACTTTTTATTATTGTTAAAATATAGATTATTATCGAACCGAATTTTGGATAGTACTCTAATGAATTTACTATCTACTACTTTGCCAGTTAAATCACGCTTTATTCTTGACTCAGGGCTGAGCCTTAAGTGGCTGGATAGCACTGATTTAAAGTGTATTTAAGCTTAAAATAAAAATTTTGCTAAGTAGGCGTTGACAAAAATGTTTTGTACATTATAATGTGTATATATTTTAATTTTGTATGGTAATTTAGTTTGGAACTATTGTTAATGTAGAGCGGGTTCGTCGGACAACTTGCTCGGCGGTATCACTGCTTCAAGTCCCGGTGGGTCGAAAGTGTTCCAGCCCACTGGTGGCGCCTTCAAGTCCACACACGCTGATAATGGTAACCGTTGTCCACTGATCATAAATGTTTCTGTAATATAGACGAATGATTTTAAATGACTTTTGAACTTACTTTAAAAGGCTTTTCTGTAATCACTTTTAAAGTTTAAATCGAACAGAGACTTTGACGTGTAATTTTGGATAATACCATCACATTGGCCATTGGCTTCGTTTTTGGTATTACACCCCCTAAGATTAGAGAAATAAGGAATATTATTTATACGTACACTAGGTTATCGACTTTTGATATAAAAATTGATCACAAGAAAACATAATACAATCACCCAGTTGCATAAATAAAGGTTTTATGACGACATCGTAACGCAGTTCATACTGCATGATTATCTAGGGATCGTTTATGCACATTCTAAATATAAAATAGTATGTAGGTAATGTCGCTTTAAAGTAATGAGAATTTATATGAACGTTAGTGCAGATATAATAGTTGAATGTTATTATAACATTGACTTCGTTATTTGCAGGCGAAAACCACAGACAGTGGTTCACACATTTAAAAACGAGTTTACCCAATCAAGTGCCTATATCACCACACCCGTCTCAGACTAACTCAACTAGTACGCAAAGTCTAACAAATAGTGTACAAGGCATCTCTTTAAGTACGCCCAATTTATCGACACAAGCAGCACTAGATAATGCTATAGCGTCGATAATGAACTCTCCTACTCACACTAGTGGTGTGCAAGTGATATCGACGGGAATGTCGATGCCTCAGTCGATACCGCAAACTCAAACGTCGAGCGCATTCAGTAATACGCTATTGAAGAGTGTTACTTTGGTGAAGAGGAATATTGGTGATAATAATACTGGTGAGTGTAATTTGCATATATATTTTACGTCACACGTCGTTTTTTTTGACACTGAGAAATGCGTTACGCATATCCGCTTCACCCTGCGTGAGCTCCACGGGTTATGTGGGACTCTCCCCTGCAGACCAACCTCCAGAGCTGGGACTAGTCGAAAAGCAAGGGCCTACCCACAAAAACACAGCGATGTACCTCACTGCAGGGGAACGACGCGTGGTAACGTTCCCCAACGGGACATGTAACCTCTTGTATATCGAATGAAAATAATATTAAATAAATGTTAGATATCACATAGATCCCAAACAAAGTAGCTAAACTGTATTATGAAAATCCGAAATAAGGAAGGTACATCTCTTGATTGAATCGTCGGATACTGTTGAATGTTGAGCGCATTTTTATTTAATCCCATTACAAGGAAATCGATATCGATACATAGTAAACTCGATGAAATATAATTTTTAAAAGTTTTAAAGAATGCATCATGCATAAAAATAATTGGTGTAAAAACTTACAAATTACTTGAATGATGAATTCCAAACTGCAAGTGATTTTTCCTTTAAATGCCTTCTTATTTTCTCTTACAATTATGATGTGTTCAAAAACATGTATCTGTAGGTCGATATTTAGTAGTAATTCACATGTATTACATCAAGTTTAAAATCTTCAGGACCATTAACGTTATCAGTAGACGCGTCAGGCAATCTTCTGATAAAAGCGAGTCAAGCTAGCGATAATCCTTCGAATGCAGAGCCGCAATCGTTACAATACGTGCAACTACAACGACTATACGTACCATTCAACAGCGGTGAGAAATCTACTTTATTGTAATTATCATAACACTTAAAATATATTGACTTCTGTTATTGTTTCAATTACTAAATTCACTTATGTTTATAAGCTGTTAGAGATCTCTTTATATTTTGATCTATCTATAGTATGTTCCTCGAGTTAGTGACGAAGAAAGAATCATGAACCAAAGTATTATGTGAGCGTAAAAGTAATCAGTACTCATAGTAATTCACAGAATACTTTGTTTTCAAGAAACAAGTGTTTTAAGTTCTTATTTTCCACTCACTATATTCATTCATCAGACACTCTTTGCCTTTTTGTTCCTAGGAACTTAACTCAATTCTACAGCAAACTATAAAAAAAATTTTTTTGCAGAAGTGGAAACTAAAAAAAGCGTTAACCAAAGTGCACAAAGCGGCCAATCTGTGATAGTATCACAGAGCAACAACCACACCGTGCCTAAACCAGCTAATGTGTAAGTATATAGTTTATTGTATATATATGGAAAGAGATAAATCTCTCTCTTTTGTCAGAGTAGAGTACTTGTCATAGTAATTTCACGAAATGTACAGACATGGTATTTTATTGCTAGGCCATTAAACGTATATGATATTATAGTATAGAGCGGATATAATATAGATTCCCGTAGTGTTTCGGGTACCTAACCCCTTTTCTAAAATGTATTGACACCTCAGAAATAGCCAAATTACTTAAACATTCTCAGTGTTATTACAAAAAAGATAAACACGCGTTGAACACGTGTTTAAAAAATTCTATTACAAAATCGTATTTAGGCATTGGTTAAGGCTAAACATCCCTTAAACATTGTTTAAAATATAAACACTCGTTGAGAGTTGTTTAACGCGTGTCTAACCTCAAAATAGGTTGCGCTTTGTTGAAAATTCATCCATATTCTTAAGATAAAGATTATATTGATATGGTCGATTTAGATTACATGGAAAGCTTTCAGGACGCGTAAGTAAACCAAACGCGAATTAATCCATTTGAGCAATACAATGAACTTTGATATAAAAGAAAGTACATATTTAGTGGATTGTTTGCTGACAAAATATATGAAATTATTTAAGACGATATTCCACATAATCCTCGAGATGAAAGTATAGATCTGCAAATAAATACACGTAGCATGTGCATGTGTGCATAGCTTCTGTGTCTGTTTACAACTTGTGAACATGTGCGGCGTTGGGTTCGGCATCAGGTAGTCGTTGTTCCGTTTCTTCATATTATTTCGCTATAGTTTTACTTAACCTTACTCTTATTTGAATTATGAATAGAAGTGCCAGTTTAAAAACGTTAATTTTGTACTTTCTTTTTTACTTTTAAAAGTTATTAGCTAATACGTTATTGAACATATCTTTTTAAGATTAGAATTTATCATAAGTCTGTATACAATGTGCATATAATGAAACGTGTATGAACGAATGAAAGCCGACTGAACGAATGATTTACGGGTTGCATGTTTAAATCAGCGTTAGTTAGACTACGACTAAAAGTGGATTTGTAATAGACAAAGTTAAACATCATTTTAAACAGGGTTTATATTCTTAGACATTGTTTACTTAAACACATGGTAAAACCCTGTCTAACATCTCTTTTGTAATAACACTGTCTATGTTGTTCTCTATTGATGTAACGTAATTCAATTTTCGTTTATTTCGACCTCCGGATACCGATCGATATCAATATCGATCGTTTGGGGTGTCCGGTGATTTAAATTCGGTACAAAAAGAATGGCCACAAAAGCCTATTACTTGTTCATCGACATTACATAAATTTATATAGTTACTAAATCAATCAATACTAAACATAATCAGTGTTATTACAAAAAAGATAAACACGCGTTGAACACGTGTTTAAAAAATTCTATTACAAAATCGTATTTAGGCATTGGTTAAGGCTAAACATTGTTTAAAATATATACATTCGTTGAGAATTGTTTAACGCGTGTCTAACCTCAAAATATGTAGCACTTTGTTGAAAATTCATCCATATTCTTAAGATAAAGATTATATTGATATGTTTGATTTAGATTACATGGAAAGCTTTCGGGACGCGTAAGTAAACCGAACGCGAATGAATCCATTTGAGCAATACAATGAACTTTGATATAAAAGAAAGTACATATTTAGTGGTGTGTTTGCTGACAAAATATATGAAATTATTTAAGACGATATTCCACATAATCCTCGAGATGAAAGTATGATCTGTTAATAAATACATGTGGCATATGCATAGCTTCTGTGTCAGTACACAGCTTGTGAACATGTGCGGCGTTGGGTTCGGCATCAGGTAGTCGTTGTTACGTTTCTTCATATTATTTCGCTATAGTTTTACTTAACTAAGGTTAAGTAAAACTATAGGTTAAGTAAATCTAATATGAATTATCTATAGAAGTGCCAGTTTAAAAATGTTAATTTTGTACTTTCTTTTTTACTTTTGAAAATTATTAGCTAATACGTTATTGAACATATCTTTTTACGATTAAAATTTATCATAAGTCTGTATACAATGTGCATATAATGGAACGTGTATGAACGAATGTAAGCTGACTGAACGAATGTTTTACGGGTTGCATGTTTAAATCAGCGTTAGTTAGACAACGACTAAAAATGGATTTGTAATAGACAAAGTTAAACATCATTTTAAACAGGGTTTATATTCTTAGACATTGTTTACTTAAACACATGGTAAAACCCTGTCTAATATCTCTTTTGTAATAACACTGAATAAATCCAAATACCATATATTAGTAAGGGGCTGTCCATTAATCACGTGAGGCTCGAAAGGGGGGAAGGGTTCGTCAAAAATCATGAAATATCACAAGGGCAGAAAAAAACGTCACGTGATTAATGGACGCCCCCTCAGTAGCTAATAGATGGTATTTCCTTCTCGTGACAAAACGTAGAAACCTGTCTTCCCAGTCGTACACTGTCGTAGATTTGCAAATCGATGATCAAGCTTTTGTACTATCGCGAGTGCTTGTTGACACCTAATCGATATTGTTTTTTAATGACTGAGGATTATTTTGTTTAATATTCAGCCAATGGGAGACCCCTATAGAAGAGACTAGACCGTTCCCGTTGGCCCCAACTCCCGCTCAACTCGGACGAGCGCCGTTACAAAAAAGACTAAGCAGAGGTACCTTTTATATATTATAGTTTTTTTTTTTGGATTGTATTATTCAGTTATGTAGGATAAGTCCTACTAATATTATAAATACGACGTTTGTAAGGATGGTCGTTTGTAACTCTTTCATGCAAATAACACGTCACGCGATGCTCTCATGGCTGCGTCATGGCTGACTGCGTTTCATATCTTCAATTCAATTCCTGCTTATTAGCAATTGGCTATATGGCAATTATAACAATAAATAATGAAATATGTTAGAAATGCTAAAGTTATACGTAAACAAAAAATATGTAGTATTTCTTATTTTAAAATTAATTGTAATTTTTATTTTTGGGAAACTATTTTGCGATTTATAATCTGTAGATTACAAGAACCTAAACGTAGACGACGTGACTGAGCATCGTGGGATATGACATTTCAATAAACTAAACGTCAACGTAATTGTTGCGAGTGCAATCAGTCGCGGGACAATAATCGTCTACGGCATGCTTTGAAAAATATACTTTTCTTTTAGCAAAATAAATTCGTAGTAGTATAATATGTTTTAATAAGTTGTAAAAAACTTTCCCCAAAACCGTCAATAAGATATTCTACTCTATTTGAAATAGTATTTATAACTGTTTATTTTAATTTAAAAAACAAATATTTTGGAAAAATTCATGATATTATTGTGATATGTACACAAAACATGTGTATAGTAGAAGATTAAGAGATGTCAATAAAACAAGAATAACGCCATCGATCGATTTCGAAATATAAATAAGAACAATTTCATCTAGTAATTTGATGTATAATAAATAGGCATTGTTTATGACTAATCTGACAGCTGTCGCCAGAATGACGTCGCACAATGGCGGGTCGTGTTTCAAATCACGTGACACACAAAAAATTCATATTTTTTAAGATAATTATACTATTTTATGATAAATCAAAATCTCGTGCAATTTCGTGACTTATTCTTCACTACTGAAACTACCCCATTCGCGGTACTCATAATATGAATGTCGTATACGTCAGGCACATCGACCGGATCGAACGGTAGCGCGGAACAGCCGGCGGCGGTACCGTCACGTCCCGATAGTGGGCCGAGTACGCCTCAGTGCGTGACTGAGCCGCCGTCACATTCGCCGCACAAGCACGCGGACTTACCCAGTCCCATGCACAAGAAGAGCCTGTTCAAGAAGGGCAACGAGGACGGACGAGATAAGTGAGTTGTATACAATACATACACTAGTCTTCAGGCTCTTTTGTATCTCCGCTTACGCTCCCATACAAAGACGGCTCGCTTGATTTCTTACATTTTTAATCACAGAAGAAAAACAAATGCAGCAATAAAAAAATCTTTTCTATACATTAGATTATATCATAACTCATTTTTGTCTATATTTAAGATGAAATATACTGTTAGTAGTAAAATCGACTCAAAAAACCTGACCAGAATTATCTTTTGAGCCAATTATTGAAATTTCTATTTCTGATTTTAGCAAACAATCATATGCTTCATGTTCATAAAATGATTTATATTTTAACTAAAACAAAACTTTTTCTGAGTTGAGTTTCACAATTACTTTTGATACATGCTGAGTCACTGCGTATTTTTCTTTTTTTGTGATCTGAACAGTACATTTTTTTTTAATATTGAGTAAAGGCTTTTCACAAGTTTTTAACAATGTTGAAACTCTTGCAATGAATGGGCCCCATTCTACATACTTTACTCAATGATATTACAATAAAAAAAGTGTAGATAGGTTACTTGAATTCAAATTGTGTCATCTTAAAACTATGCTAATTAGCATACTTGAGCGCAGTCTGGCAAAAGCGTTGATTATGTGCGTTTATGTACCATAATCATTTTAATAGTGCCATCCTGTGTTATGCGAAACTGTAGAAACAAAATAAGTAAGTCACCTAAAGACCAAGGGGTCACATTTAATTCGTTAGAATACATTTTTAAGTGATTTGCGTTTTAATCAGTAAAATAATGTGTCATAAAAAGAAAGAGTAAATACTCCGGTTACAAATTGTGAAAAAGATCTGTCAAAGACTATGTAACTAACAATTCGAATTAAGTGCCTATGCTCTACCTTACGTTTATTTTAAAATTTATATGAGACCGAAACTCCGGGTTTTGAATTCAAAGCATCGCAACCTAACTCCGGAGCTAAAAAATACTTCGAATCCGATTCCGATTTCGATTGAACCCCTCGTGTTAGTATCAGGTTTATTTTATCGCTTGAAAAGCTTCATTATTTATACACGGGCAAATAATATAAACACTAACGACAAGGCGAAATAATAATGTTAGATATCAACATTTTTAAGTTGAACTCTTGATTAAAATAGTTTAGATAAAAGTAGGCATTAACATGCATTAAATCATTACACGTCTGGTCTGTGATTCAATTATAGTCTTTGAATAATTGGAGAGTATCGTGCCATGTGCGTGTATATATGCTGGGAGCAATTTTTGATATCGTATTAGTACTGATATGACCTATCTTCCCTTTTTTATTGTAATCCTTTTTTTATTGACTTTACTCGTGCCGCCAACAATAGGAACAAATATGTTCAAGAGTTTTCGAAAGCTTGATATTTCATTATGTACTAAGGTTATACATCACTAAGAAGGTAAGTTGCTGGAACACCACGGAGCTGACCTTCGCAACAGCCTCTGAGACTACATAATGTATTTGTTACCGCATGCGCAATGGCTTTAAATACTCGCACAGCTGACACCCGCCATTCTCGTCTAACAAGTAGCGTTGCGCGCTAACTCTCTTTCACTTTATCTCGGATACCTTGAGACTTTAACAGTTTACAGGCATCGTTATATCATCATATTTAAAAAAAATAGCTTTAATTTGATATAAAAAACATGCGTATACGTCATGAACTTATAAATACACCAAAATATTACCTGTTTACACACCTATTTTGAAATTCTTTACGTATATTGCTATGATGTGGATGATATTTTATTTAAAAAACAAATGAACGAATTTTTTTTTTTGGACTTTTAATTAACATTAATTTCATTAAAATTACTTGCGGCCACTTATTGACTGGCAGATTGTTATCAGTGTATTCTCCTATTCATAAATGTATGTAAAAATGTGAGTTTGACTAACTACGCGATGAACGTAGTGATTTTGCAGTGGGATCTTAGACTATTTGGGTACAGTAATTTTTGAATGTTTTCTCTCTAATATAATAGAAGCGAAGTCGAAACTTTGTTTCTATTTTTGTGAGTATGTGTTTGTTATCAACGTAAACGGGCAGTATCGCGAGCAGCGAGTATTCGCTAATCAGTTTGCTCCTTCGCAGAGTATTGGAGACGGTGAATTTCGAACAGAAGTTTAGTACGCTGCCTCAGTTTAAGCCGGAAGCTTGCAGTCCCGGCGCTATGGTTGTATGCAGTCCACAAATATACCTTCGTAAGAAGCACGCCAGCAAAGGTACGGCATATTCTTACCCGTTTTTAATATATGTTTATTTTTAGTTAAATTAAGGTCTAAAATCCTTTGGAAAAATTTTCCTTTTTTTAATAATCAGAAGTACCAGTTGTGCTCGATAACAGTAAATTAGCGCGCTTAAACCATATATCGGGCAATATACACTTTAAATATAATAATCACAATCATTTATTCAGTCTAAGCTGTTACAAGCACTTGTGAAAGTCGGAACTCTATGCCGTCGGTTCATAAATCCACGGCGGGAGACCCTGTATCGAGAAGAATCGGCAAGAAATTCTTCAAGGGCTCTTTTATTTCATGCAGAGTCGTCAGGATTGAAAAATGACTTCATAAGATTATAAGGCTGCTTTTAGACTAGGCGACAACAAGGCGGCATTTGCGGCTCAGTGACCCTGCCGTATTTGTTTTCGCTTATATGAAATTTTAACTCTATTGTCGTTCAGTAGTTCTTGACTACAATATTGGTTTATATTGCTGCGTCAGCCCGGGCGACAAAGCGTTTTAATCTAATATAAACACCTTATTTACTAGGCGGCACTGCTCTTGCTTCGCTTCGTGAAACCGCAAAATGAATCTTAATCTTATAATAAACGCGGCTTAACAGCCTATAAATATTTTACAGAGGAAGAAGCGACAGTGGTGACACCTAAGCTTGAAGCGGAGATGATGAACGGGGCAAGTATGCCGACGCCACACTCCTATGGCACCCCTCACACCACCACCAAGCTGGTGGGGAACACTTTCTTCGGACCAGATTTCAACTTGGATTCCTACAGAGGTTAGTACTAATAGAGATATGTTTCATCATTGTGATTAATTATTTCGTGATATTATTTTATTAGATTTCATTTAAAAAACAATGCGGTATAGTAGTTAACAGTAATAACTTTTTTATTTATAAAATTTCAATATCCTTCCAGCAATAATATGTGACTATAGTTATTGCCTATTGATGTCCTAAATGCTGGTTGCATACATTAAATTTTGTAACGTGAATGGGCCGTAATGATCAGTTATCAAGGAAGTGAAATATGGATCATAATTCTAATAGCTTTATTGACACAAAATTATCTATCTTGGGTCGGCGATCTAATGATTCGCGATCTACCACGTGGTAGCATAACTAACTCGAGAACGTTTTATTTACAATCAAATGTTATTTTTCTCGGATAATGGGAGCCCATACGATATCTCACTCTCGAAGTGATGTTTTGTGTAATGTCATGCTACGGGTGCAGGATGTGGATCGTATAACGTGGCACGAACTTCGAATAATGGCTGGTTTAGACGGATTAAGTTGATAGATAGTTAATTTAATCTAAAGTTATTAATTACGCGTAAACTCACGAATCACTTAAAATTAAGTTAACGATTTAGTTAACTACACGTTATTTAGTAGACAAGCAGTTTAACTTAATTTTAAGTGATTAAGTACGCACATACAAATAAAAAAAAAAATTTGAATTAAGCTCATAAGTAGTCGACTAAGTATTACTTACTAACTTTGGATATCGATTCCTTTCATAACACAATGATATAATTACAATGACGAAATAAATAGTAAACAATGGTTACCATGGTAACGTTTTAATTCCATATACAAACTACCACTCCTATTTTCATCCTTTTATTTGCTGTTTTGCGGGATAAAATATAGTATATGTTCATCGCATATGATGCAGCTTCCCGTTGGTGAAAGAATTTACAAAATAAGACCAGTAGTTTCGGAGCCTATTCACTAACAATCAAATCTCTCCTCTTCACAATATTAGTATATATAATGTAGTATAGATTGTGTGTTTACACGTATTTAATCACTAAAAATTAAGTTAAAAATCTACTTAATTTCCTGTAAAACAGTCATAATTTCACACTGGATCACGCGAAGTAAAATCCGTTCTAGTGGTGGTTCACCAGAGTTTATATTTTATATTAGGTAGCGAGAGCGTGGACGAGATGTCTCCTCGCACGCCGTGCTCGGCCAGCGGCGGGGGCGGGGCGGGGAGCGGGGTGGGTGGTGGTGGGGGCGCGCGCGGGGGGGAGGCGGGGCACCGGCGCGTGCTCGAGCAGCGGCGTACGCTCGTGCTCAAGCTGTTCAAGGACCACGGCATGTTCCCCAGCTCGCAGGCCACCACTAACTTCCAGGTCGGAACGCTTCATCGCCAGCCTGTGAATGTCTTTTTAAGCTGAAAAATGCGTTACGCATAACCCCTCTTCCCTAGCGCGAGGGCGGCGAATAATGTGCAACTCCTTATAACCCACCCCAGAATGGGGTTAGTCAAGAAACAGGGGTTTACCCACTAATACTCAGCGATGTCCCTCTCCATGAAGGTGATGCCACATTTAGGTCCACCCATGCGGGGCGGGGGTTCAATTGCGGGTTGGGAGTAAACCTGTTAATGTCGCCATTGATGCTTCCCTATAAACTTTACTAAAAATGGAATCGAATCGGGACCTAGTCCGGATCGGCGGGTGTTAATCACTGCTGATTTAACCGGGACCAATCATTTAACGTGCTTTCCGAAGCATGGAGGAGCTCGAGATATTAAATTTATGATCACCCATTCTATGAACGGCTCTTGCGAAAGTTGTTTATCGACTTTATCGCAGGCCCAGCGTGATTGCTGCGCCATCGAACTCTTCGCCTGTACATCACAGGGTCAATTCTGAAACTACAACATTATAATATCGGCAATACAATTGCATGGCCGCATGAGTTTTAGCTGTCAATAGATATAGCCAGAGGATATAATTTTATTACAATGAGTTAATTTTTTTTTATATAACTTGTTAAGAGAATTTATCAATAAAATATAACTTGTGTTATTTGCTCATTATATAGTCATACAGCGCTACTTATAAACGTGGTATAAAATGTTATACCGAGAATTAGTGCAGAATACGCAAAATGTCAACTTATAAACTCGGTGTAACTTATGCTTAGAACGTTTATTTGGCAGTGAGCTATATTGCAGATACTGATAACGCTGAGATACTACTTTTACTTGAAATTTTGATAATAATTTATATTTGACTTAATAATTTACAATAACTTCCACAAAATCATCCGCGTCTTGTTTAAGGAATAACCACAGGTAACGTAAATAAACCAAACTCTAGTTCACTTATCAAAGTCAAACTCAGTGATATTTGACACTTCAACCGAATCACAGACAAAATACTTTCTTTTTTTCGATTTTGTCTATGAAATGCGGCGTTGTCGCTACGTGCATCGAACATAAGGGTGGAATACTTACGCCGATGATATGCCAAGTTTATAAGTCAAAAGATATCCTTCCGTTATTATGAGCATATACCGAGTATAACTATTCTTGGTATAACGATTGGATAACCATAGTTTAATGAATTTTTATAAGTAAGGCTGATATTAGTTAAATAAGTACCAAATTCTTAAAAAGTGGTTTTTGAGTTCATCTATTTATGAACAACAAGAAATCTGTCCTCTTTATAATATTAGTATATATTACTATTATTCCGAAATTAGCATATACACATACATGTTCTGTATAATCAATGTTTAATTATGTTTCACGAACAGGCTACGCACATGGACATCTTTCCAACTAAGATGTCGCTGCAATTGAAGATCCGAGAAGTGAGACAAAAGCTGATGGCGCAGTCCAATCTCACGCCTCACTCTGAAGTCAACACGCCTACCAGTTAGTACCAATTTAGGTCTACTTACAACTAACAAAAAACAAGTCAAAACGTTATTTGGACACATAAATAATAAGACCCCGTCCACGCGAATTTTGTGATTATTGCGACATGAAGTCGTAAAAAAATGATTTCATGTTTTTTCTTAAAAGTATTTAATAATATTTTTATTTTAAAAATCTTTCATATTTTTTCCTTGAAAAGTATTTATTTTATTATGTCTTTTTTATAATAAATTTTTCAAAATACTTATTTCTCATAGTTTGAGAAAATTCCGTATCCGGATTAAGAGAGACATGACACATGTTCGGGCACAAACGTATTTATGTTGTTTTTTAGTATCTAAGCTTTCAAAAACAGGAGTATTATTTTCATTCTAAATTAACGATATTTTATGTGTATATTGTCGTAGATGTTAATTCCCCGATCGTGTCGGCTGCGTTGCAACCAACATCGACGGCCAGTTAGCGATGTGGGTACACCATCTCCATTGTGGTACAGGAGTAGGCAATGTTGATATGTATGGTATGATATTTTGGATACATTCTATTTGGATGTTCTTATTTTCTTAAGTTTTGTCAGATTATTTTTAATTAGACGATGTTTTTGTTAGTTTTACGACTATCTAGTAATCCAAACAAATTGAAATTTGTTTAATTTACAAAGAGCTTATTATGAAATTACTATAGTGAAATGAATGTGTCCAATTTATGAATATAGATGTATCATATTGTCTATAACCCCATAAACACATAATATGTATAAATAAATGTGTTATATTAATAAGGGTGTTGACTATTTATCAAGTGTTTCCCAAAAAAATTATCAAGGCTAAAGATTAAAATTTCTTTTTTTCTTCTAAATAACGTTTCTTCTAATTTTATATCGGAATACCAAAGTCACTTTGGGACAATGTTGGTAAGGTGATATAAAATGACAGTTTCGCGCCGTAAATTTAGACGACGCCGCTTTCTTTTCAGAAGAATCGAAATGATGCTATATATTCCTATTGAAATTCGATGCCACGCGACTTATGTTATTTACCTTCCATTGGTTTAATATCAATTAAAATTTTCTCATTAAGTTTTGTTAAAATATAATCTTTTTTTTGGTTACAGACAAAGAAATTACTGTTTTAGTCAACATCTCTATTACATTGACTTTTTCAATTGACACTGGTATTGTAATGGTTACATAAATTGTCAATGTATTTGTAACATGAGCTTTTACATAGTGTGTTTATAATTAATAACTATGGTGATACGATGGAGTGAGAGTGTTTGAGGTTAAAAAATCATTTAAATTTTGAAGTGCATTTAGTGATTTCTTCTTGTTAGAATTAATCTTCATCTAAATTTAACTTTTAAATAACAGTAGAAAACATAACATTATTATGTTACCAAAAGCAATGTGTATAGAAAACTAATTCATTTAAGTTATGCGAAACCGATAATATAAATTTTGTTTATTAAACTACTCTATATTTTTTTTAACACGACACAAACATGTTATTATTTTAACGTAAAATTATAAACATGGTCAGTTCATAATCTTACTACAAATATTATAACAGAATTGACTAGATTACAGACGACAGATTATAAACCAAAGATGTTTATAAATTTACGATGTATACATACACACAGTAAGACAGTTTAAGGGAAGCTCGATGAAACTATATACAGCAATTGATCATATTAATATTTAATAAAGTTTGCTGTGAGTTAAGCTGGTATTTCGTTAAGATCTTGCTGTGCAGCGGGCGGGATAGTTTGTAATTTCTTTATGGATTATACCAAAACATTATGGTCTACACATATCTGACGTAAAATGCGTTCGTTTAGTATCGGTAGGTGTGCATCAGAACTGACACATTGAGAAACCCAGCAGTCCATTCAAAATTTTATCTGAAATTATAATTATTACTATTTACTAAACGTACTTTTTAATATTGTTATTAGATGATCTGGTTAAAATTCACAGGATTTATCATCTTTTATTGTCTGAAAAATATTATTTTTTTGTTAATCTTCTCTTTACGTGTAAAGACCACCAACGTAACATTGGCAGCATTGTGTAAACGTAAATATGACAAATTAAAAAATAATAAATTCTCATATTTCTTTGATACGCTTGCGGATCTTCCGTCAGATATGTGCCGACCGTTAAATGCACAGGCGCTATTTGACCACTTTTGTATTAACTAGTAATCACAACTGATAATCTTCAACAATGCTTTGTGCCGTATGATTACAATCCAGAGAAAGGATTACAGCTACTTAAGGCTCGCTGTCGTTTAATGACATTTCTTGTCATGTCTCTTTGGTTTTACTTCACGGCTACTTTAATGTATAGTTATCGAAATTAAGAACTGTATATTTGATCGAAAGTTGTATTGCAAAACGGAGTTCCATAAACAGGTCAAATTGTGTCTGCTAGAAATTGCTATCGTGTATTTATATTTTCCGACATTCAAATGGACCGTCTTCTGCAGAAATGTAATAAAAGCAATGAATAGCATTGAAGTACAGTCAACTGCACGTCGGACTATACAAAACTGTCAAACTTCCCCATTTGATTTTGAACATTAATTAATAGAGAGTAGAGGTCAAAATCTATTGCAGAAATTTGTCATATTGTGGTAACCAGACGTGCAGCAGCCGTGTGTACAAGTAGTCCTTGTGATTTTTTACCATTTATTCTCCGATATATGCTTATATATAATAAAAACTCTTTGACTATCTTACGTATCAATCAGATTATTTCTCAGCGATCATTTTTGCACAACACGGACCATTTATTGTTAACATTTGCTATTATAACAGGTGTATGGTGGTTACATACAGTCGACACCACGTCGTTTTAATATAAAAGGCAGAATTTCTACAATTTGTTTTTGCCTAATCTGTCGACGGTTCAGCTTATAATTTATTGCAGAAATTTGATCTTTTGTAATAACATGATGTGCTACTGTGTATACAATCTAAGTTTAAGTTTATATTACTTCAAAATACACACATGTTTATATTATATATATAGTTCGCACACGAGCTACGTGCATTCGGGGGGATATTTTCTAAGTATACTTTGGTTCTAGGGCGGACGACAAAACTGATAATGATCCAAAGTATTATGTGAAGTAAACGATATGTATCCCTATCTGTTTATTGTTTTATGGGGTAGGGTCAGCGATATATAGCGTCCAGTATAACAATAAGCAGTACTTCGCGGAAACGATAGTGTTCTATGGATAACGGCGGGTACGTATCGATTTTTGTCGACGTTCACATATCTGTGTCATAAGATCTCTTGATCTATGTCATAAGAATTGCGCAACATTCCTTACGAAACCTTGGTGCTTGTGCGCACACTATATACATATATAACATGTATTTATAGCTAGTGATAGTTTATGAATGTGGAGAATTTGTTTTGGATAATCAGAATAATTGTTGTGAAAGCATATCTAATAATCATCTTTATATCTGGATGATTTATTAAATCGATTCCATAGTCCAGATACCATTAAAAAAAATACAAAAAAAGAAAAATACCTAATAATCGCATTAAGCGTCTTATGTATTATAGGATATTGTCGTTTCCATGCCTGTAGGGTTTGTAGGGTTTATGGTGCGATTTTGTAAGTTGAAATTATGTATTTTGTTGCGTAATTTTTGTTTTGTATTTATTTCTTTGATGTTAGCACATTACTCATAAAAGGCACGATCTCAATAAATTTGTATAAATGTGTAAGTCCTTATAGTTGGTTTGTGTGTCTGGTTGTGCATATCTGTTGAGATATTCTGTTTATGACGTATGTTTGCGTTGGTATTTTATTCCACTGTTGCTTATTTTAAGCCAGTTTATTAACGAACCCAGCAGAATTGGATCAAAATTGTCTAATTTTGATGAATAATGTTTTTATTTAGCAATTGAGCAGGGCAAGTGAATTTTAATTACATAAAAGTCGAATTCTAAGCGATGGTGCCTATTGTTGATATTTTGTTATGGTGACATAATTAATTTAGTCACTGTGCCCTCATCGTGAATACCTGACTATTGGACGACTTAATTCTTTTCCACTGATGAGAGCACAGTGACAGAATCTTTAAGTCACTGTGACAAGATATCATTATTGTGCGCTAGCTCTAATTATTTATTACCCGATAACACGATATAAAGCATACAAATGTTTTATAAAACGATAAACCCGACATTTTTAACGAATTGCTCGAAGCCTAATTTAATTCTTAATCGGTTTGTAGCCTTTAAGTACTATATATATGAAGTAAGAGTTATTTTTCAATGACAATTATTTCCTAGTTTTATCTCAGTTTAGTTGCGTCCGTTTCCATTATTAGCTATACTTTGCTATTTGTGTTGCATTGATATTTCTTTTATCTATCTGACTTCATATGTTTGATGATTCCCTAATAAATAATGCATTTATATCACCCATATCTAGAGCATGTGTCATACGAATTCTCGAGACGATAATACGAAAAAGACGCACAGTGTGTATGTCTGTGGTCATTAGTAACGTTACACAACTAATATTACTAGAATGTTTGATTGAATGATGTGTATGCGAATATTAAATCGAAATGTTATCATTATAATTTTAAGTCTTATTAATCTTATATTGTTTCTATTTATGTTGTGATGTTGGTCTTCCACGTGTTTGAGAAATTATCATTTTTATTAGATAAATATCTACCTATAATTTTTATGTATAGTGATTTACGTAAGTATTCATTTTTTTTGATGCCATGTTCATAAGGAAGGTAACATAAATTAAAAAGAAAAAAAATAGAGATTGAATACGGATACGTCTGAAAAGTGAAATGTCTTATTAAATGATATTGTGTAAAAACCTTTTTAGAAACAACCCAACAGTGGTTTGCAAGCTCAAATCATTATTGACACTAGATAAATCAATATTTATTATTATATACATATAATAATCTCATTGTAAATATTAGATTTGTTTAATACTAATGTTAAGAGTTCCCGGCTCTCAAAGTAGTTAAGTTTTTATTTAGGTAATGCTAATGAATGCTAGATAAAAGAAACTAACTTTAATTTATATTAAAATTTCGGCCAATGCAGATGTTATGTATATCAAAATTGTATTTTTTAAATGATCTCTTCGGCGATAATATAGTATTTAGTCGATTCATTTAGGAGTCCGGAAGTGAAATGAATTTATTAAAAAAAAGTATATAATATATAAAATGTAAGAAATATTTTCGCACTGTTATAAACGTAATCATAATGGAGTAGTCGGGGTAATACCATGTCTTGAAACTACTATGGGTTGTTGACAAATAACATTGACTATATTGGGGAGGAGTGTCTATAACGGAACTAAACTCACTACATTTGTAGCTTTGAGATTTGGTATGGAACACCGCGTAGTCAATTGGTCATATACACTTTTCATACATTACAACCGTTGTTACCAATTAGTCATAATACAAGCACATACATTTTATATTGTTATCGGGGTTTGATAAATCTGTTTTATTATAAACATCAAATAAATCCAATTATTTGATATATATCCCATATATTGAAGATGTGTATATATAAAAAAAGTTTCCTTTGTATATTATATTGATAATTATTGATATGTACGAAAAAAAGTTCTTGTTCAAAGAGTAGTTTTTGAAAACATTAAAATTACTTATTTTAAATCAATGAGGAAGTATTAAAAAACAAACATTAGTTCCCGAAATTAAACTAGGTGTCGTTACAGTACTTATTTGATTTCTCCATAACAACCAGGTTTTCTTTCATGTATAAGAGTAAATTAATTTTCAAAACTCAACTCATTCTATTTGTTCTTTTTCGTATTTTTTTTTTTGTATTAATATCTAAGTTTCAAACTTTGCGAACTTCAGTTTCTTAATATGATAGTTAAAAGGAACGGAAATGACTATCTTTGGTCCATTCGTTTCGTGCAAAAATCAACTTTTGGTAGAGTCGCCATCTAGTGAGGTGCTTTTAGTGCTTTCTGTTTTTTCTTAAAATACTTCCTCATTAATTTGTCTGTTTGTCGGTTTATTAAGTCTTAAATTATAACTGGCGCCATCTTGTGATGGCTATGGGAAGTAAGTAATTAATCAGTATAAAATTTTTGGATATATATCACAATAAAAAACCTGATAAATATTATTGTCGAACCCTGATTGTTATGTACACTAGTCTGAAATACTGGTTATGAATTGCTCCACTACTCGGCTACATGAAGATATTAAATTTAAACATTGGAGTTCCAGTTCATAATTATTATCAATTCAGAATAGTCTGATTTTGTTTGTGTGGTTGTGAAGATGTCTTCTCTGTAATAAGGAGATTTGATGAGATTTCAATTTTCACACACACTAAATCTAGATCATATATATAAGTAGATGGTTATTTGTACCACTGGCGGACCAAGGGTGGTCGGAGGCGGCGGTCCACCGCGTGAGGGGGGGGGGGGGGACATTGAAAAAGTTAAACATTTATGGACTGGATGGGGGAAACGCAATATCAATTTTTTCTGCCCTGACTGGAAAAAGTTTTCGATCCGTGTCTATTGCCGCCCCGGCCTCCGATGAGGTTAGTCCGCCCACTGATTTGTATTCAAATCATCTAATTAACATGGTCCACAAATATCAGTCTAAAATATTTTTCCAGTTTCTATCATGTCAATCTGAATGTCTATTTGTAACAGGCATATTATAGAAATAGCTGATTAGAATTGATTCACTAATGTTTTAATATTATCTGATTATTAAGGTTTTGTAAATTATCGACATAAGTATGATGCAATAGTTCTTGTTGATTTCATAGTTGAGCAGTTAAGTTTATATACTATTTTAATAAAACTAAACATCAGCACAGTTATATTATATATTAATGGATAGTTTCACATACATTTTATTTTTATTAAATTTTACTGCAATAATGTTTTTAAAGTAGTTTAAAATTATCAAATTTTGTTTCGTGGATTATGATTGCAGTGGTTTGTACTGAATGTTTCAATTTGTTTTAATACTGTCCATTAGCTAGTGATTGTTGAGTATGTCTCAGTTTTGAAGTTATTTTGAGTTAAGAGTGTCTGTATTTGTTCAGTGTGAATTGTAATAACAAATATGAAACAAATCTTTCTAAACTGCATATTATTGGTGCCTTATTGACTTTCAAAACTATACAGAACAACATTTGTTTATCAAATTAACATTTGGTTTAATAAGATAATATGTATCTACATGTTATTTTGAATATATCCTTTAGTGTTTGTTAGTCAATAACCAGTGGATAATAAGCAGTTTTCTTTATTAGACTGAATTTACTATGTTGCATATAACAAATGAATAGTGTTATATTTTAAGAAATATTAGCAATTATTTTAAAAGGACATTTTAACAAAGCATTTCATATTCGTTATTTATTTCTTCTACATAAGGCATTAGTCTAATTGATTAGTCAAAATGTCATTGTAAATACTTTGTTTAGAAGTTTTGTATAGATTTAAGTGTTCAATTTAATGAATGTGTTAGATTGAATTAGATAAAAAAAAATCAAAGCAAATATTTGAAAATAACAATGTATCACACCTTTATAATATGTTTATGTATCCAACTAAAGGACCAAATGAATGGCACTTTAACATAGAAAATGTAAACAAAAGATAAACCTTGATAATTCAATGTGTGCAGGTAATTAACAGTAATAAGGCGGACAGTTAGTTCAGACATATTGGATCATTGTACGAACTATGTTAAAACATAAAAGCCTTAAAAACAGATTGTTTTTTATTTCAAAAACCTCTTAGTAACTATATAATAATTAATTATCATATCTATTATTCAGTTTTATGTTCAGAAGTTTCATTTACTACAGGTTCAATAGCTTGTATAATAAGATTGGAATTTTCTTCTTCTAACATTGAAAGAGCAGCTTGTAAGGTTAGGTCTTCACCGGGGTCTGTTATAATCAATACTTTGAGAGCTCTCATTCTCGCCAAAGCAAAAATACAGCCTATGCATATATTGCAACCACTAATGTCCAAATATTCTAAAGTATCTTCACACAGTCCAGCAACTTTATCTATACACCACACGTCAACATGTTTATTATTCTTCAATGATAGCCATTTAAGAAAATTGAGGTTGCGGATATTCTCCAGACCCTCATAACGAATACCGCCGTGATGAAAGTTGGTGCAGTCGATAGCTTCTACATAATAACCCTCTGTATAATGGTCTGGCAGGTTGAGTGTTGATATATCACCTTTGATCCAATTTTGTGAGCCTTTCAGTCTAAAATATAATAAAAAATCAATTTATTTGCATTCATTTCAATATTTTTTCCTGTTAAGAAAAATATTTTGAAGATTTTCAATATCTTTGCTTTTTACAGCAGCATATGCAGTCTGCTTTCAACCATTAATCATTACTGCTTATAATCTTAAGATATTGGGTATATGAAAAAAATTTTGTGGATTCCTCAGCTCTGTCATCACCTAAATTCATATAAAATTTAGATTTTTTATTGTAAACACATTTGTATTGAAATCTTGATGAGGTCCCAGGCTTGATTTCCAGCAGACAACACAGTTAAAATAAAAGTCCGCTCATTAAAAAAAGAATTGAGTCAGTACCCGAGTCAGAAGAGTCTGGTAGGTGTTCAAAAATTTTGATATTCACTAAAAATCCGAGTAGAGTAGTACTTTAGTGGACTCATATTTCACCATAAATCAGATATGAACGATAGAAGAGGATGTAAATAATAATTATGATCATTGTAATCAGTTATTTGATAAAAAATATGTATCTATTATTTTTCTATTATCTGAGTGACGGAATAAGTAGACTCTTTATTCACCCAGGCATCAAACCTATTCAAATGTCTAATTTCAAAATCTATCGCAATCATATTAAGAAGGTGTAGTGATTGTGATTGCTATTTTTGGAATTATGTAAGGTTTAAAGTCGCAATCACTTTCGGAACAAATGATGATTTGAATGATTAAGAGATTTAATAAAAAATCTAAGTAACTAAAAGTATTATTTACGTCTAAAAATTGCCTTACACAATTCCAATTAACATGAAATTGGACATTTGGATGAAGAGCAATTTAATCAATTCAAATCGACTACATATATGCGTGAAGCTGTAAGTAAGGATGCTGTTAAAGTGCACAACTTAAGATTCGACTGTCGCTAGTACTCAAAACCTGTATTCGAGGTACTCAAGTACCTGAGTACCAGCTAGGTATTCGAATCAGCCTGACTCGGCACATCTCTAAACTGTGGTACCTAAACCCACAATTTTTTTTCATTGTAAAATAAAATTAAAATTATTTGATTAATACAGAAGTAAGATATTATTTGTGAAAAAATAGAAAGCTTTTCTGCTTTAAAGAACAATTCGGGTTTTGTTATAATATTTTTAACTGGTTTTGTTGGGTACACAAATATTTCTTACCTAACTGCACATTGCCTATAAGTGAAAAAATGCACTGCTGCGAGATTTGAACCAAGAGCTGCAACCCTTTCAGGCAAATATTTTTGATTTTGTGACTCTTGTAATGACTTCAAATCACCCCACCAGCTTTTCGCTTTCTCGATTGTAAAGTTTGGTATCTGAGACATTATATACATAATATCTGGATGAGGACTTTTCTCTACAAAAATAGATAATTTGCTTTGCCATTCGCCCTCTCTCTTTATCCATGGTTTTCGCCATTTCGAAACCTCCTTTTGTTTTGCAGTTTCTTCGTGTTCCTGATAAATTGTTTTATCACCACTTGTTCCGAGTCTTTCACCGTAATTTCTTGAGGTTATGAAGAATGGTCTATAGAATTTGCAAGATTTTATGCTGAAAGACATTATGAGTTTAAGAGTGTCTTACTTATAATTTATCATTCTAATGGATTTATATAACTAAAATGTGGTTTGTCTTTATATAATGTAGTTTAGTAAATAATAATAATTGAGACAGAAAATTCACAATCACACTAAATCAATCAGAAATCACAATTATTGTCAGCTGACTGTCAGTGTCAGTATGGATATCGCTACCTCCGGAGAATAATATGATAACTGCAAAAACCAAAATGTTCAGGAAAAATAAAAAACCGATTTTGTTTAATAACTCTTTTGTTTGAAAAGCTATCCCGAAGAATGGTATATCAAATGAAAGCTAATTTTTTTGCGCAACGATGTGAATTATGTTTCGTGGAAAAGCACTTACAAGAATCGAAAGAATCGCAAAAATTAATATTAGCAAAAATCCTTCCTAAAATGTTTTAAAATAATACGCTATTGTCATGTTATTCCAGTAAAATCACACTTAATATGTTTTACAATAATAAACTATTGTCATGTTATTCTGGTAAAATAACCTGAGAAAAAGTATGTGCTAATAGTCGATTAGAATGTTATTCAGGGTAATTAAAAAAAAATATCCAGGGCTAAAAATAATCTTTTAATGAATATAAAACAAAAACTTTTATTTTTATTTAATTATTCAACTAAAGACAAAAACTTCTTATCAAACTATGATTTATTAATTATAATTGGATCAATCATCATGGGACTCATCATGGGAATCAAACTATGGGACTTTTATAACTACGGTAATTCGTCCTCCTCTTCTGATGATAATACTTCTTGATCTGTCGATATCAAAGACGTATAGAATGAATCATAGTGCCGAGGTATAGCCTCACATGAACACAAACTCTTTAAATCATTGTATAAAACTTTAGTAACTGGAATCAGTTTACTGTAAGCACATTTTAAGTCTTCAACATCATAAATTGCAGTCGAAGCTGCTGCAGTTTTTCGACCACGGCTGACTCGTTCCATAACTCTTGATGAAAACTTCTGTGTTGAAAGTGGAATAATCATTATCAAAATCATACTCATAGCGTAAAATTTTTGGTTCGTTGCTTAACACCTTAACTTCCATCACTTTAGACCATAAAATTTTATTGCCTTGTACGTCTCGCACCCAATGTTTTCCCGCAACAAGAACTTTAATGTCATAGAATTGGACTGTTCCATTTCTTTAACTATAAATTTATTGCCGGTAGCCTTTACATTTTGAATTACATTTGATCTGGGGTGTATATCTCTTTCTACGCAAGAGTGCATTCTGTCAGCCTCACTTTGCCCGTGTCCAGTTTTAAAGAATCGATGTGTGATATTTAATTTAAAGTGCAAATATGAATTTATTCTTATTTTGGCCTGCACAATCATCAGAATAAAAGGAAATATGTTCAATGCCAAGAACGTTCATGTTCAGTGTTCAAAAACTGCCACAAGCAACTGCCAATTTCAATTGCTCCTCTTTTTGCTAGTTGATAGTGCCGCACGTAACAGAATCCTTGTCGGAGCACCGAGTTATAGATAGTAAAATTGTAAATTGGATATTTCCTTTTGTAGTGGAATATTTCTACTTGAGATTGTAGTATACTCAACACCTTCTCCAAATAGAAAATTGCAACTGTACTTTTATTATGATCAAGGTTCTTCTTTTCTTCCTCTTTCAGTTTCCAAACTCTTTCTTTGTTTTTTATATATTTATCATAGTCTTCTTGCAACAATTGTTTCTTGTCATCATCAGCTTGTTTATATAATTCACACTTACCGCATAAATCTTTTTTGGGCACAAAAAATGAGTAATTGAACTGAGTATTAAACACAGTTTGGTATTGTCTTAATGTTCCCATCTCTATGTCTTCATCGTAATTTTGATTCTTGAACCAATCTTTATAAAAACGATACATTATTGAAATATTTAAGTATGATGAAAGGTACAGTTTTTGGGACTTTTCTCTGACATAATGTGATTCAATTGTGGGGAATAGTTCAATATGTTTCTTTATGCTATCTTCAGCGTACGGTCATGAAAACCATCTGCAGATTGAGCTTTTTATAAAGCAGAATATATAGTTTGATGTATTACATTCAATGTATTTTTGAAAAATAGTCTACATACTTGTAATTTTGTGTTATTTATGGGTAAATAGTATTTTACGCTTTGAATTATATTATTCTTGCGGTCTAATGTAATACGTTTTATAGGTTCTGCTGAAGTGTGTTGCACTATAAATTGCCATTGTCTTTCACGATCTCCTAGTCTATAATACTTAATATAATACTTTTTTAGCTTAATGTTTAAAACAATATTTTTCTTAGATAATGATGTAATAAGTTTACGTGTGTTTGCGTATTTATTGTTGATAAAACGTAAAAGAAATAAATTGTGACAGATAATCGTAGATGGTTGTAGGTAATTATTAAGTTTCATGAACATACCTAAAAAATTATTACTTACATATAGAAATTTTTTGTCAAACCGATGGAGAAACCTATCTAAACTGTTGTGTTTGTACAAGAATACCATGCTAATAGCATATATCAATACAATCGCCTGATTTTCTTACGCGAATAACATTATAAAGTAACAATGTCTGCGTAAACAGTTATATTTATATTGCTAATGTATTAAATATTGTTGTTCTAGGCATAAATAAAAACATTGAATTCGTTGAATATCATGCTAATATTTTGTATCTTTGTAAATACTCGTAGGAAATATCTGGAAAAAATTCACAAGGTGTATTGGACCACGAGGAGCTCAAAAATGCAATAACACTAAAAACATGACAATCGTTTTTGTCATATTATTCTCCGGAGGTAGCGATATGTCAGAGTTAAAGAGTGACATTTTTTAAATAGGAAGATGGCAAAGAAATCTTTATTTTGATTTCAAAGCACAATAATAAGATTATGGAATACTATCACAACGTTTTGTAGTCTTTGTTAAAAAAAGCATATTTTTAAATTTTATTTGATTGTCAAATACAGTGTGACCATCTTTGTCCACTTTTATAGCTATCATACTGGGTCATAATTTTAGAATGGCCAAAACGGGGTCGCCTGCCCTATTTATGCCATACATTGTCCTAATAATTTCACCTAAGTAGATTTGTAGAAGGAACTCTGAACAACTTTCATCTACAACATTTTTTGTTTATAGTAAATAGTGGAGTGCCTTATGCATCTAGAATTGAAAAAGCTCGAAATCTCGGTATCTCGGTATTATTGTACGGATTGTATTATGGATAAGTTATATTAAAATGTTTACCAATTAAAAATCGTTGCTTTTTATTTAATAATAAAATAAATAAATTAAGGCATATAATAAATACGAGTACATTACAAGCTTAACTAAGTAATGTAGTGTAAAAATCGTGTTATAAATACATTTATATCGTATAAAATTAAAGGGTAATATTAAGAAACAATAATTGTAACAAAAAAAAAGTTTACAAAAAATATTTATTTAGTTCGCCTCTCATACATGCTTGAAAATGATTAAACTTCAACTGCATTCCGCTAGAGTATGATTCGGAGTTGTTTTCTTCGTAATCCGGTGCAGATAGTGTCCGAAGCACCCGTGCCCTGTCACCACCTATACCAGACGGAAGGTTAGCCCTCCATGGGTTAGAAGATTAGGTTAGACGGAAGGTTAGAAGGTTCCGTCAACATGGAACTTACACATACTACTCTGTGCATAGTAAAGCTTCCATGTTGACGGAGCTCGTGTCTCAAAGATACTATTGATTGCACACCATGCAGAAACTAATTCCAAATTAGTTTCGTAAAACTAAGAATTTGTATGGAGATTTGTAGTTCTTGGTAGTTATCGCTAGGAGCGCTGTACCGGATTCTATACTAAAATCTTAACGCGCTCACGAATGACAGTGAACGTAAACATCAAAAAAACTTACACTCAGATGGCGTCGCGTCACTAGTTTCACCGCAGAAGTTTCACTATTTAAATCGTGTTTTAATTATTTGCGTGATACTTACGGTCAGTTGCACATATGTCAATTAAGGTTTAATGACGCCTTTGAGCTCTAATCAAATTTTGTTTGTCAAATTTGTATGGGTACAATTTTAATGGACGTTTGTGCAACTGGCTGTTTGTTTCATCAAAAGTCATCATAACTTTTAGTTTCATTAAACAAATTGCGTTACTGGACCTGATATTGCCAATGACATTAATGCAGTGTTTCCTAACCTTTTCAATGTCCCTACCCCCTGTGAACAAGTATGGGAATGATTCTTTCGCCTCCTTCATTTTCCTCGCGTTTTTTATAGTCGACAATCACACACCTTTCATTCATTTCATTTTACATGTAAAATTAATTTATTTACTTGACATTGGCAGAATTGTGAGAAATGCGCAGATAAGCCATTAATTAAAAAAGAAGAAGAAGAAAAAAGTATGGGAATTGAGTAACCCCTAGCTAATTTAAAATAATTCAACCACACAATTTCGTACAAACAAATTTATTAGGTAAGAAATTGCACGTTTAGGTAACTAATAATATATAAATCTCGGACTTAACTAGTGTGAAGGTTGATATTGCTTTGCATTCGCAAGTATAACAATTTAGATTCGGTTGCACTCAACGCGCATCTCATGTCATGCTCCACATTCAGACAGTTTCTGGCTTTTGTTTTTAATGAAACAAGAGTCGACTAAATACCGTCCTATTATTTTGTTTATTATTTTAATACTTTTTCGTGCCAACTCTGTTACCCCCCTAGAATTGCCGTTTTACCCCTGCGGGGGTAATTACCCCCAGGCTAGGAAACACGGCATTACTGCAATGCATGTTAAAGTAGTGAAAAGAAACGAAATACTTATCGCTATAACCTTGGATCATATATCATATCTTAGATGTCGTATTCTATAGCTAGTGTCATGGCTAGAGACCCCTGAGCTTTGCGCGTAGATAGTAAACTTAGATCACAGAAACTTTCTTTTGTAGTTTCAAGAGGGCGCGTACACCGAAAATTACAAACTTTCAGTTGGTTTTGTACTAAGAAATAACATCTAAATGTGCTGTAAATTGAAACGAGAAAACTAAATCATGTTTCTAAAGGTTCATAGGCAAAACGTGGATAAGAAAATCACAAAGTGATCCCTAAAATTATTACTTTTTATTAACATTATATATACCCTTTTTATAACAAAAAATTATAAGCAAGTGTATTTATTTATTTAATCTTATTTGCCTAAAGAAATAGACAAATGGCGGACTTAATGCCAAAGAGGCATTCTCTACCAGTCTACCAGTAAATTTAGTAAAGTGTATGACTCAGTATCCAATTCAGGGAATTGTGCAACATCTTTACAATAATTCTTTTAATATAGGGAAATGCTTTACGCATTATTCGCCGCCTGGCGAGCGACGTGGTTATATGGGACTCCCCTCTGCGGTTCTCTCTCACCGAGGTCTACCCACGAATTGTACCTTCACATGGGGGATGAGACCCGGGAACTAGCCGAGTCACCGGGATAACGACCTAATATAAAAATTAATTAAAAAAAAACAACCATTGGCTATACACTTTTTTTATTATTACGCACTCAATGAGGAAGTATTTAAAAAAAAAGAAAGCACAAAACAAAAAGTCCACCACTAGATGGCGACTCTAGCAAAAGTTAATTTTTGCAGGAAACGAATGGACCAAAGCCAATCATTTCCGTTCTTTTAAACTAACATATTAAAAAACTGATATTTGAAAAGCTCGAAACTTTGATATCAATACAAATACGAAAAAGTACAAACAGAATATGAGTTGTTTATTGAGATCTAAAAATTAATTTACTTTTAAACATGAAAGAAAACTGGAAGGGTTGTCATGGAGAAATCAAGAACGTACCGTAGCGACATCTAGTTTGATTTCGGGAACTAATGTTATTTTTAAATACTTCCTCATCCAATAAGGATTTAGGTGCTAAATTAGTCGTTGCTCATTCTGCATACTACAGATAATGCATTATGAAAAGCACAATAGTTGACAGAATTTTTCGTTAATAAATTTAAGTGGAACTTGCGAATAGTTCCTTTTATTCGTTTCATCTGGGCAGACAGTTTTTTATTTTGGCCTGTTCCACAGTCGAGGGTAAATTTAATTATCTGAGAACGACTAGAGCATAAAGCTTTTATGTTCCCACATTATTTTCAACTGAAGGATTGCAATAGCTCTCCACAGTACTATGCGGGTGCGGACACTGTGTCTTAATTATACGGTACATGCGCTGCATTCTCGAAACACAGGAATTAGAATACTATTTGAAATGTATTTTTACCTAAAGCATTACTTTATTATTTTTTTTCTATTCCTTTTGTCTTTTGCAGACTTCGGTGTTCCTTACTCTTTAGGGCTCCGTACTAAAAGTTAAAAAGGGACCCTATTACTAAGACTCCGCTGTATGTCCATCTGTCACAAGGCTGTATCTCTGGAACCCTTTCGTTAAAATAACTTTTCACTGTTGCCGCTAAAACAACAAATACTAAAAAAAAGAATAGAATAATTATTTAAGAGGGCTCCATCGAACGTGATACCTAACCCTTTGTGTGTGAGTCCGATTCGCACTTTGGCGGATTTTTCCATACCTTTAGTCTTTTCCAGAATTTCAGGTGTTTCTTCATTTTATTTTTAATATGCCGCATAGTTTTTGAGATTTAAACAATTTTATTACCACCACTAGCCACCAGTAATGGTGCATCGTTTTAATCGAATATAAGAACACTGTAGAGAAAAATATATAAGATTATGATTCAAATCTTATACTTTTTCCTCTATGATGTTTATTTTCTTGAAAATATGTTTTACGTTAGTAGTAGATATAAACAACAAACCTACAAAGTAGATTAATATGGACTTATGTGTAATATTTAAATATTGATTAGTTGTTTCAGGTTGCAAAATAGTGTTCATGATATCAGAAAATCTTTAAATCGACTAAGGAAATATATAGTGATTTCAATATAACCTATATCGAAATAGTCTATAATTAATTTATATTAATCTCGATTTAAGCTTAACGTAATGAGTTTTAAGAGTCTACCAGTTTCCAAAGCAGTAAAGTGGATGTTCCGGAATCGCATTAGAGGTATTAGAAACTCCTTGGATTATTACTCCACTGAGGCAGTTCCTTGTCTCATTAGCGAAGACGAAATCGAATTAGTGCACACACTCCTCGCCAATCTATGTCTTAAACGGTAAAGCTGTCGTGTCGTAGCGGCAACAAGATAAAAGACAAATGTCCAGTTTCATCTAAGAGTTTCTACTGGAATGAAGATGGTCTAACTCTGACTGAATGCCTCTAAGATTCGATTAAAAAACAATCTCTTAAGTTGCCCAGCGATGCAAAGTTATAAAAGTTAATTTGGCATTTGTTCTAATTTAATACTTGCTTTGTTTGAAGTAGCTTACTGCCTACTTTACTCAAGCTTGGCTTAAAAGATGCTTCAAAATAACTACATCATAAGTTGATACAAAAATAAAACTTGGCGCTTTAAAAAAATACTTAATATT